CGCCGCTCCGTATTTCAACAGAGTGGCACCCAACGTGCTAATGAACTCCACGTAAAACCTGAGAGGGCTTAAAAAGGAGAGAAAGAGAATTTAAGATAGCTTTTTGCTGTTTGTGGGTTGCGTGCCGCAAAGAAATTGTCCTGACTCAGCAGCAGGAAAAAACTGGCTGTTTTAAAATGCCGGCTTTCTGGGCTGTGCCGCCATTGCGATCTCTGTCTGGCTCCTGTGGGAGACAGAGCTTTTGAATGGAGCATTTGGAGTAAAGCTCTACGGCTTGCTTGATGGCAATGTGGACTGCTATGTGCCTGGAACTGTGTGTGGCTCAGGGGCACCAAATGGCTCTGAGGCAGGAGCGGCTTGGCTCAGCTCTGCCATGCTGAACTGTGATGGTCTCAGGCAGGAACTACCGTAATTACCATAAAAACAGCGCATTTAAGGTTTCAACTGGGCAGGACACAGGCGGTACCGTATTACCTGTACATGGCACAACTTAAGTTTTTAAGAACTGCTTAACATTTTAAGAAATGTTCCTGGATAGTAAAAAAATGTTATAGATTCACAATAAAACATATTCAGACATAAAAGACCACACTGTTGGATGAATGCACATAGACTTGAGAGAGAGAACAAAAAGAATATAGAAAATAAAGTTAATGGTTTTAAAAAAAAAGGTAAAGTCTTTAAAGAGACAGAGTACAGTTAAGAAATTAAAAGAAATAAAGAAAAATAAGCCACGTAAAAATGAAAAATTCACAGAGAGTCTGGATTATGTACATTGTGTTTTCTTTAAATTTTTTGACTGTGAAGGAGCTAAGTACAGAGAGACATTTCATTACATGGGCTGCCAAGCTAAACCAGAATGGATATAAGGGTATTACGATTTCAAAATTTGGGTTTAAGGATATGATGCTTTGGAGAGGGTCTTCTTTTGTTTTCACAGAGGACCAGACCCTGTGGATTTCTTCTATCCCAATTTGGTATGATAGACCACGCCCTCCTGAAAGGTTGTTGTGAACATCTTCAGAAAATTGCTTCGCTCAACTGCCAACTGAGATGAAACTAGCACACAGGTTATACCATGAAAGACCTAATTAACGACGCCCCCATTCAACAGGAAGCAGTTTGGAGAGAAAAAACTGCGCCCATGTTTCCAAAATATTGTTTATAAATGTTCTTTTACATTTAAAGGGGGATATGATATAGGTATGAATAATTTGCAATGGTATGGATTTTAAGGTCAATTTTGTTATATGTATATGTATTTTTGATCTTGAATAAGGTGTGATTGTGTAGTTCATTTTTAAAATGTAATGTATAATTAGGAAATATAGGTTGTTGATGGATAATCATAATAGTCAAGTTTGTAGTCATGTTACTTAGATTTTCTAGATATATAGAGATATATTTCAGATAGGCATTCTTCATATCTCTCAAAGGCTACAGAATATGGCATTTAAAATATTTTAATAACTTAGGACTTTTCATGACAATGAGACACGTCTGCTCCTGGCAGCACCAATCTACTTCGAGAGGAAGATGGGCATCGAAGAGGATCCTTATGGAGTTTGATAGCCATTTGGGCAAGAAACTGCTCTTGCCTGGACTGTTGCATAAAATGGACACAGAGAACCCGCAGAGAGAGGACTGCTGAACTTGCCTAAAGGTGAGACGGTCTTTTGGGGTTCATGACTCATGAAAGAGTCTGCGAGACATTCTGCAGGACACAGCAGATAGTGACTGAACTGTCTTTGAAATTTCCTGCTTCATGGAAATGTCTGCTGGATACTATGGGCCTGAAGGCTGAAGATGGATGCCCCAACCATACAAAAGAACTTTGGGTGACTGTCCAGGCAACAAGATGTCTCTGTCATTTCTAGAGTTTTCTTATTTCTTGTTTACTTAGGTAGTATTATATCCTTCTGGAGTCTTTGATGGAGTTAAAGAATGAATAGATAGTTATAATTTTCCTTAGTTATGATAAAAGATAAAATAGATATAAATATTGTAACTGTAATTCTTGCTTGATAACTGTTTTGCTATATGTAATTTTACTATGTTAAAGTTAAAGCCTTTCTTTTTTGTTTAAACAGAAAAAGGGGAAATGATGTGGGAGTAATTTCTTATTAATAAAGAAACTGCCTAGACCCATTTGATAGGCCAACCCTTAGGTAGGCGGAGTAAACAGAACGGAATGCTGGGAGAAAGAAGCTGAGTCAGGGAGTCGCCATGATTCTCCCACTCCAGACAGACGCAGGTTAAGATCATTCCTGGTAAGCCAGCTCTTGGGCTACACAGATTAATAGAAATGGGTTAGATCAATATGTAAAAGCTAGCCAATAAGAAACTGAAACTAATGGGTCAGGCAGTGTTTAAAAGAATACAGTTTCCGTATAATTATTTTGGGTAAAGCTAGCCGGGTGGCGGGACACAGCCCGCCGCTCCGTATTTCAACAGCCTATATTCCTCCTTCCATTCATTCTCTCTGCTTGCCAGCCCTGCCTATCTGTTCTCCACCTAACTATTGGCCATTCAATTCTTTATTGGACCAATCAGGTGCCTTAGGCAGGCAAGGTGAAACAAATGCAACACCTCTTTACATAATTAAACATGCATCCTTACATTCTTAAACAAATGCAGCATAAGCAAATGTAACACTCTTTTACACAGTTAACATAATATGCCATAGCATAAACAAATGTTACACATCTTTACATAGTTAAATATTTCACAGCAGTAGCCACCATTGTGGCTTATTCCACAGCTTGCCTCCCCTCCCCCCACCGTCTTAGTTAGGGTTACTATTGCTGTGATCAACACCATGACCAAAGTAACTTAGGGAGGAAAGGGTTCATTTGCCTTACTCTTCCACATCACTGGTCATCATTGAAGGAAGTCAGGACAGGGACACGAACAGGGGCAGGAACCTGAAGGCAGGAACTGATGCAGAGGCCATGGAGAAGGGTTGCTTACTGGCTTGACCTCAACATCCTTATCTTCCAAGCTCCTACAGAACAGACCACTAATGTCTCAGCACTCAAAGGCTTTTCTAGCCCAGAGTGCCAAGGTGCTTTTGCAATCCTCTCCAAAACACATGGTTAGCGATCTCCTACTCCAGATGCAATTTTCTAATCATGCTCTTTCCAAATCCATTGCTTCACTGGCATTGGAGCCTATTTCTTCAGGATCCTGGTGTATCATGAAGGCCAGCCTCACAGACTGAATGGCTATTAGATTCTTTGACCATTGGTAGACAGCCATTGTTGGACTAGCTGGCCCACAGGCTGTAAGCCATTCTAATAAACCCTTTCCTCCCCAACTTGTTTTTGGTCACAATGTTTCATCATAGCAATAATAACCCTAATTAGGACATCTCCTCACATTGGTGGTAAATGAAGGGACTCAGACACTTTTAAAAACACACCTATTAAATTAAAGATTAATTAATTTATTTTATGCTAGTGAGTGTTGTGCCTGTTTGTATGTCTATGCACCATTTTTGTGCAGTGCCCATAAAGGTCAGAAGAGGGTGTCTGGTCCTTTAGAGCTGCAGTGACAGATGGTTGTGAGCTGCCATGTTGGGTTCTGGGCACTGAACCCGGGTCCTCTGCAAGAGCAGCAAGTGCTCTTAACCACTGGGTTATCCTTCAGGCCCAGGAGAATGACCTTTTATTGTTACAGTCTGGGAAACTATGAGGGCAAGGACTGAATTCAGATGTAACTGTGTTGGGAACACAAGAGGCACTAAATAATTGTTGCAAGACATGGTGAGGGAGTACTCACAAATGTGCATGAAGCCTGGTTGGTTTTCTTTTGGAACAGTCAAGCCTCCCCTAAGCATGACTTCTTATATAGGGGAGTGTCTGGATGACCCCGCGACAAGGCTTTCAGGAACACCGGAAAAGTGACACTCCTGCCAACAGACAGTTTCCCCCGCCCATCCTTGCCAGCACCGAATGTTTAACATGATTTTCAATGTTGCCAATCTGATAATTGAAAAATATTATCTCAATATCACCTTCAGGAGGACAAATGAGATGCCAAATATGCTGGGAAATTTTCTACCTCAGGATGCATTCCTCCACAATCTATAGCTTTCCCCCTAACTTCTTTTCCTTCCTTCTTTCTTTTCTTGCCCCCCCCCCCCCCCACTCCTTTCTAGACACCAAGGCCTCACTATATTAAAACGTTTCTCTGTTTACTTCTGTTTTGTTTGGGTGTGTTTGTGTATGAGCACATACGTGCCACGGTGGGAGGTCAGAGGACAGCTTTTGGGAGTTGGCTTTATCTTTCCGCCCTGCGAGTTCTAGGGATGAAACACAAGTTGCAAAGCTTGTATAACGAGCTTTTACCCCATGAGCCATCCCACTGGGCTCAGTAGGTCATTTTAAAGTCAATAGCCTTCTTTTCCTTCAGACCCAGGGGTCCAGACCCCACCATCCTCCCTCAGACATAGGGGTCTGGGCCCTAGCCTTCCTCCTTCCCCCACAAGACCTATGCAGAAAGTACTATTGTTAAATATCATGTAGCGAGGGAAGCTCATGGTTCATTCTGTGGGGCTCGCTGTCTGGAAATAAATGGTAATGGTTTCTACCAAACTCTCCCCCTACCCCGTTCCCCCCCCTCCCCACCCGACAGTGCTTTTCTGTGTAATCCTGGAACTCCTGTAGACCAGGCTGGCATGGAACTCAGAGATCTGCCTGCCTCTGTCTCCGGAGTGCCGGGAGCAGCTCCCAGCTGATTAAAACAAAACAAAACACAACACAACACAATACAAAACAAAACAAACCCCACCTTAGGACGCCTGGATAGGTTGAGTGTGACGACGTTTGATCCGGCTGCTGGCACGCCCGTCAGCCTCGGCCCCGCCCCATCTCCTGAAACTACGACTCCCAGCATTAAGTGCGCCATGGCCTACGTCCCAAAGAAGCCCCGTCCCCGCTCTTGGCCCCACCTCAGGGCGTGTTCTGGAGGCCGCGTCCTTCCACTTCCACGCTCTTTCGCACGTGTGTTACTGGGCCCTCGTTGTAGTGGCCCGGAGGGCAGATCTACCGGTCCTCTGTTCCCCAGCCTGGAATGAACCGCTTTCTGTTGCCGGTGTCCGTAGTGGGCACGGTGATCGGTGGCACCGTGCTGCTCAAGTGAGTCTGTGCGTCTCTGTGCACGCACGGTGGTAGACCTGCGGCAGGGGACTGCCGATTAAGGCCAGAGAAGGATCCTTTATCCTCAGTCCTCATTCTTGGATTCTCCCAGCTTACCCACCAGCACCGCTTTTCCAGATTGAGCTGGGGGGGTGGGGGTGGGTCACCTTCCCAAGGTCACCTAAGGAGAAGGGGTGGGGCCCGGACCTTGCACACTTTTTTGTCTCTGGACCCCTCTTTACTTTTCCTCCTCTCCGCACTTCCTGTCTGCCTTCTTTTCCCTCTTCCTCTCCTCCTTTTTTTTCCCTTGCGTTTTTGAGACAGGGTCTTACTGTGCAGCCCTGGCTGTCCTAGAACTCAGGTAGACCAGGCTGACTGAATTCACCTGCCTCTGCCTCCCGGAGTGCTGGGATCAAAGGCGCGTGTCACCACGCACGGCCTGCTTTTTTTTTTCCTTGCGTGTATGTTTATGTCGCGTTTTCCGAGATTATAAGAGGGAGAGTGTGTCAGAGCTGGAACTGGAGTTGTGGATGGTTGCGAGACACCACGTGGGTGCTGGGAACGGAACCTGGAGGCTTTGTAAGAGCAGCAGAACTTGTGCTGCCGAGACTTCTCTCCAGCCCCACGCTGTGTATAATGTACATTTATCATAGCTACTTCCCACTCGTGTTCTCCAACTCCCTGGACTCCTTCGGATGCACCTTCCTTCCAACTTCATGTCCTTTATTTTATTTACTTGTTTTGAGACAAAATGTCATGTAGCCTAGGTTGGTCTTGAACTTGGTGAATTCTTGGTCCTTCTGCCACTGCCTCTCAAAGCTGGGCTTGTGTTTCTGTTTACAATCTTTTTGTTTTATTTTGTTCTCTGTGTAGTCCTGGCTGCCCTGGAACTCACTCTGTAGACCTTGAACTCAGAGAACCACCTGCCTCTGCCTCCCAAGTGCTGGGATTAAAGGTGTATGCCACCACCTCTGACCCTAATCTTTTGTTTTTATAAAAAATAGTAATCCCACCTCACAGAGACTTCTCAAGTGTAGTCTTTGCTGAGACCATGATAAGAATACCATGTGTTTTGGTGCTTTGGTGGGGGATGTGAACTTTGAAGGGTGGTTGGCATAAGTCCAGGCATGAGGCAGAGAGAATTCATTCAGCTGTTTCTCACCCTCAGGGACTATGTCGCTGGTGGGGCTTGTCCCAGCAAGGCCACCATACCTGGGAAGACTGTCATTGTGACAGGAGCCAACACAGGTATTGGGAAACAAACGGCTTTGGAACTGGCTAAAAGAGGTAAGAGCAACACCTGCTTCGGAATTTGAAGAGATTCGTGCACACTGGTGTGTATGGTAGTGTTGTTTAAAATAGCTCAACGGTGGAAGGAAGCATTCCAGGTGCTCATTGCAGACAGTCAGAATGTGGTCCATCCATACAGTGGAATATTACCAAGCTTTCAAAGGGAAAGGAATTTGGACATGCTCCTGTGCGGTGATTCTAGAGGATATGCACTAAGTGAAAAAAGCCAGACCCTGAAAAGACTACTGTGTAAGTTTGCTTGTTGGAGTAGTTACATTCTTTAAAAAAAAAAAAATCTGTTTTTATTATGTAGTATGTATATGTTGGGGTGGGATAGGGTTTGAGCTTTGCCATTTGTGTGTGTGTGTGTGTGTGTGTGTGTGTGTGTAGTTCAGAGGACAACTATGGAAGCTGGTTTTCTTCTTCCTTTATGTTGTTCCTGGGAATTGAACTCTGGTTCTCAGACTTAACTGCAAGTACCTGTTGAGCCAATTTCCAGCCCCTGTATTTGTATGTCTTGATAAGTTTGTATTTGTGTGTGTGCACATGCTTGTGGAAGACAGGAGACAGCGTCTGGTGGCATTTCTCAGAGTAACGGTAGCACTAAGATCACTGAACATTCCCATATGCCCCCAAAATGTTTCCGTCTTCTAACATGGTCTTAGAATATTTCATGACCCTTAAGATTACCCATCATCTCTTTATTCATCATCCATGGCTCCCTGATCTTCCCCTGCCAGCACAGCTCCAGGAAACCTGGGTCTCTCTTTCTGCATTTGCTTTTTTGGGACATTTTATATAAATGGAAGCATGTATGTATGAATTATTGTTATTATTGGTTTCTCGAGACAGGCTTTTCTGTAGTTTTGGAGCCTGTCCTGGAATTCGTCTGTAGATTGGGTTGGACTTGAACTCTGCCTCCCAAGTGCTGGGATTAAAGGAGTGTGTCATGTATGAATTTTGTGTCTGACTAATCGAGTATAGTAATTTCAAGGTTCATTCACTGTGTCATATGTCAGTGTGTCATTCCCTTTTATGACTGAATATCCATTGCACAGATAGACTGCAGTTGGTTTATCTATTGATTAGTGGATGGATGTTTGCTATTGTTTGTTTGTGTTGGAGATTGGACTCAGAGTCTCTCGTTTGCTAGGCAGGGGCTCTACCACTGAGCCTTGCCCCCAGCCCTGTACTGGTAGATTTTAGGCAGGTGCTCTACTGCTGAATTACATCCTCAGCCCTGTTTTTTTACTTTTTGAGACAGGTTCTTACTAAAATGCCTAGGTAGGTCTTGAACTCACTCTGTAGCCCAGGCAGGCCTTGAACTTACAATCCTCCTGCCTCAGCCTTCAGAGTCACTGCTGTTTCAGGCCTATACCACCAAGCCTGGTGATATTTGCGTTTCTATGTTTTGGTCATTGAATATATTACTAAGACTGCTTGTATACAGATTTTAGCGGGTGTATATTTTTATGTCTGTTGGATAGATATGTAGGGGTGCATTTATTTTCTTTTTCTTTTCATGTTTTCTTCTGGGTGTCCAGGAGGCAACGTCATTCTGGCCTGTCGTGACATGGAGAAGTGTGAGGCAGCTGCGAGGGACATTCGTGGAGAGACCTTGAATCCCCATGTGCGTGCCCAGCACCTAGACTTGGCTTCCCTCAAGTCCATCCGAGAGTTTGCTAGGAAGATCATCAAAGGTAGGCAGGAAGACATTGACTTTTCCAGCCAAGGTTTAGAGCTTCCAGTCAGTTCTCTAGGAACCTGAAGCTAGTAAGTTCTGAAGAAGAGGTTGGTCAATGTGATCTGCTGGCTGAATTCAGCTACTACCTGTTTTTCTGTTCTTCTGTAAGATCAGCTGTGCCTACTCATGAGAGTCCATTGTGATCTGGTTGTGGACTGTTGGCATTCCCTCAGAGTAGGAGGGGATGTAGTTTGGATGAGAATGGCCTCCATAGGCTCTTATGTTTGAATACTTGGTCCCAAGGTAGTAGAACTGTTTGGGAAGCATTAGGAGATGTGGCCTTGTTGAAGAAGGTGTGTCACTGAGGATGGGCTTTGAGGTTTCAAAAGCCCACACTGTTCCCAGTTAGCTCTGTCTGCCTCATGGTTATGGGTCAGATGTGAACTCTCAGTTGTTCCCCTAGCACCATGCCTGCCTGTAGATAGAAGTTTCTGTTCCACCTGGTCCTGCAGCCATTCAGTCCTAAAGAAACACACAGAGGCTTATATTAATTATAAACTGTTTGACCTATTAGTTCAGGCTTATTATTAATTAGCTAAATAAGAAGGAGAACCCAAAGAAAAACATATAGGCATCCTCCTGATTATTAACCTTCATCAGGGGATGAAAGGAGACAGAGACAGAGACCCACATTGGAGCACCAGACAGAAATCTCAAGGTCCAAATCAGGAGCAGAAGGAGAGAGAGCATGAGCAAGGAACTTAGGACCTCGGGGGTGCACCCACACACTGAGACAATGGGGATGTTCTATCCGGGAACTCACCAAGGCCAGCTGGTCTGGGTCTGAAAAAACCTGGGATAAAACCGGACTCCCTGAACATAGCGGACAATGAGGACTACTGAGAACTCAAGAACAATGGCAATGGGTTTTTGATCCTACTGCACGTACTGGCTTTGGGGGAAGCCTAGGCAGTTTGGATGCTCACCTTACTAGACCTGGATGGAGGTGGGTGGTCCTTGAACTTCCCACAGGACAGGGAACCCTGATTGCTCTTCGAGCTGATGAGGGAGGGGGACTTGATTGGGGGAGGGGGAGGGAAATGGGAGACGGTGACAGGGAAGAGACAGAAATTTTAAATAAATAAATAAATAAATTAATTAAAAAAATTAGCTCTTACAACTTAAATTAACCCATAATTCTTGGCTATGTTTAGCCACGTGGCTTGGTACCTTTTCTCAGCGAGGCATTCTCATCTTGCTTCCTCTGTGTCTGGCTGGTGACTTATGTCAGGATCCAGCCACAACATAAAACGTTTCTCAGCAGTGTAGAGGCATGGGAAATTTAGCCTCGATGCATTTCTGTTGGCCTGCTTGCCTTTCTGGCTCCACCATGCAGGCAGGTTAGACCCAGCTGGCTACAGCGCCTGTGCGTGGACTGCCACCATTTCCGCAGTAACCCAGACGATAGCTAGCAAAACACTACACTTCCTTCACTCTTCCTGCCCGTTCAGCCGCGATAGAAGCTGCATCTCCACGACTAATGCAGTTCCACTTGCAGGAGACGGTGCGACCTCACCTTGGCTGCCCTGAGCCAGAGGCTGCGGGTACTCAGCCAGTGCAGGGGTGGGAATATGCTGTTTACAAACTGTAAATATCTCTGCCTTTGCTTCTGCTCCTCTTTTAGTTCCTTTAGCTATCAACATACATAACTGAATGCTACTTCCTTGTCCCATATCTATATTTATTATTTACAAATTTTTACTCCTGATTTTTATTTCCTACTTTTCTGCTTTTTAAAATTCTACTACTTATTTCTGAGCGCTCCTTATTCACCTTTCCACCTATGGTGCAGTTTTTTTCATGGGTTCCTCATGTTTTCCTCTGTACATCTGGTTACTCTTCTGTGTTTTTCAGGGTCCAACCCCCAACATAAAACATTTCTCACCAGCATAGAGGCGCGGGAATGAAGACACTATTCACATGACAGTATCGGGAGGGACTTTCAGTGATCATTCAGATCCTGAAATCACCCACATTTATTTTCCAAACAGCTTTTATATCATAGAGGGAAGTTAACAAATCTTCATTAGCATTCTGTTTCCTAGGTAGTGGGGAATGACTTAAGTCACATCTTGTCTATACCTATTTTTGTCATGTAGCCTGAAAACACCTTTTTCCCAGGTGACCTCATAATTTATAACAGAAGGAGCAGAACGGCATTAGCATATCCTGGCACCTGTTGAGGTGGCACAGAGTTTGCTTCAAAAGAGCCAGGCGATCCCTTCCTGTGTGGCAGGTGCCTTGCAAGTCGCTCAGATTCTCTGACCGCCAGACAGTGTGGAATATAGGCCTGCATATTTCGGCCCCAACATGACTTTGTCTTTGCCTTTTCTTTTCCCAGAATTCTCATAGTCTGTTTACCCTGCCTATACTTCCTGCCTGACTACTGGCCAGTCAGCATTTATTAGATAAATACAAGTGACAAATCTTTACAGTGTACAAGAGCATCTGCCTGTCTGCTGTCATAGTCCCACCGTGATGGTCATGTACTCTAACTCTCTGAAACTGTAAGCCTCAGATAAATGCTTTCCTCTCTAAGCTGCCTTGGTCATGGTGTCTTATCACAGCAATAGAAGAGCAACTAAGACAGAGAGGTTGGGGTGGTCATTGGACCCTCATCTGAGTGTCTGGACTGTGCTCCCAGCATTTGTATATAGTTATCATTTAATTACACGTGGCTGGTGATGGTTAACTGAGAGGGCCACCATCTGTGTGGCCATGCAGCTTTGGGGTCAGCTATGCTCTTGCCTATAACCCCTTATCTATAAGTAAGCCTAATAAACTTGTGGGTTTCCCAGGGTGAACTTCATGGAATGGAATTTTGGTTTGCCATTGGGACCTTAATAATAATATTCTTCCATTTAAAAGATTTTTTTTTTTTAATTTTTACTTATGTGTATGTGTGAGTGCCCTCAGATACCAGAAGAGAGTGTTGAATTCTCTCCAGCTGAAATTATAGACGGTGGTGAGCCTCTCTTTGTGGGTGCTGGGAACTGAACTTGGGTCCTCTGGAAGAGTATCAAGTACGTGTAACCGCTGAGCCGTCTCTCCAGCACCTCTGTGGACCTTGCAGCTCAGGCCTCCGAGTTAGCTAGGCCTCCTAGTTCACCCTTTTGTAGTGGAGGCTGCCACAGTTTCCAGAGCTAGTAAGAGGGGGCTCCCTGCTCCTAAACTGGTTGTTCCAGCCACAGGTTTATGCTGAATTCTTATTTCCCTGCGGGGAGTCTGGAACCTGGGCAGCTAGTCTGTTTGGGTGACTGGAGTAAAGAGCTGTAGTCTGGGTGATGAGTAGCAGCAGACATTTCCTACTTGCTCTTCTGGAGGCTGGAAGTGCAACACAGTGCAGATTCTGTTTCTGGTGAGGCCTCACTTCCTGATTCATAAGTAGCACCCTGACTGTGTCAGTACTGGAAGGGAATGGGGAGGCAGCCTCTTTTGTGAGTGTAAATCTAATCCTGTGGGTCTATCCTTATGCTCCAATACCTACAGAGAACCAGAACTGTTGAATTATCTCGATTCGAAAAATAACCAGGCTAGCTAAAAGATAAAACAATTACATATTTATATTTATTATAAGGGGCAAACTCACGAAACAGGAACGAGAAGTCCAAGCTCAACTGTGCTAAAAGGGAACCACACAGAGAAGGCACCTAGCCGTGTGCTGTTTTTCTCCAGGTTCCAGAAAGCCACAGCCTAACTTGGTTCCACCTCTTAAAGATAATTAGTTGACAAAGATTCCCCATCACTTACCCTTTTGTCTAAATAAGAGCGATTCAAGCCAAAACAAAACTATATACAATAGGAACAGATATCAAGTATAAAATTACAACCATCATAAACAATATTAAGCAAGGAACACATGATAAATGTTTTAATAAACATTCTATTTTAAAGAGTCTAAGTCTTGCATCGGAAATTGACTTGACTAAATCATAAGAGGAAGGTAACTAAGACTATCTAATCTTCAATTCCATCGAAGGCTTGAGAAGGAAGATAATATTACTTGAGTAGGCAGGAAGTGCAATCAAGCATTTTCCAAAGCCAGCAGTACATGACGGAGGCAGTTGGCTACCTGAGCAATCACCCAAAATCTCATTTGCAATGTTGAAGCAACCAACTTTAGCTAAGGCCTAGCGTAACTTACAGACCACTTTTTGAGGCAGGAAAATTTTCAGTACCGTCTTACCCTGTCTTGACAGTCCTTTTCCTTGTGCCCTGCTTATCCAGTCTCCAGATACCATGTACTTTGGGCAGTTCCTTGCCCAAAGGCCAATTGTGCCAAGAAGAAAACAAATTCCGAGTGGAGTGTCTTCGGTGCTTAACATTCTCTCAGGAATAGATTGGTGCTGTCGGAAGCAATTGTGTCTCATATCAGTATAACCCTAAATTATTTAAATGCTATGTTCTACAGATCCTTGCAGTGGTTGAAGAATACCTATCTAGACAGAATATAACCTCTATGTGTCTAAAGAACCTAATTGATCTGACTGTATGTACAACAAACATGAATAACTATTGACCTATAACATTTAATACTTGTATAATTTAAGGACTAAGATTTCATAACAGAATATTAAATAATCTGTAAACAAATGTGCAGCAAATGGGGACAGTGACCTCAAAATGTAAACAATGTATAAGTATCTTGTTCAGAGGTAAAAGTAGTATATAATGCAATATGAAAATATATCCTAAAAGTTGTATCAAAATACAAAATGTCCTAAACAGAGGTAGAAACATGCATGTATACAATCTGACAGAGTAACTTTGCATAGGTGTACAAATATTGTAAATAGAAATAACAAATATAATTTGAACTTGTATCACTATGCAAAAAACTATACCAATGTAAATTTTGATTTTCATATTTGTAATGGTTAAGTATTTTGAACAGTTCTTTATGTGGTTAAAGCTATTAGAGATATTTCTTTTTTTTTTTTTTTTTGATTTTTCGAGTCAGGGTTTCTCCGTAGCTTTTGGTTCCTGTCCTGGAACTAGCTCTTGTAGACCAGGCTGGCCTCGAACTCACAGAGATCCGCCTGCCTCTGCCTCCCGAGTGCTGGGATTAAAGGCGTGCGCCACCACCGCCCGGCTAGAGATATTTCTTTTGAGAATTCTTGGTTTGTATATGTGCCTCATCTTAAAATAGGGTTATTTATTTTCTTCCTATCAAGTGTTTTGAGTTCTTTATATATTTTGGATATTAGTCCTCTATTGGATGTAGAGACAGTAAATGTCATTTCCCATTCTCTAGGATGCTGCCTTGTCTGAATGATGGCATTCTTTGTCTTGCTGAAGGTTCTCAGTCTCATGCCATCTTGTCTATTAGTTGTTCTTAGGGAGTGTATTATTGGTGTTCTGTTCATAAAGTCATCTCCTATGCCAGTGTGTCCAGATGTATTTCCCAGTTCCTCTTCTGTCTGGTTCAGTGTATTTGTTCTTATATTGAGGTCTTTGACCCTTTTGAAGTGAGTTTTATACAAGGTGATGAGTATGGATCTATTTGCATTCTTCTATATTCAACTATCTTTTTTGACAAAAACTGTAACAGTGCTATTTTTTCCAGTGTGTGTTTCTTGCTTCTTTAGCAAAGATCAAGTATACATGGCTGCCTGCACTTATGTTTGGGCCTGCATGTTTGTCCTTTGATGAACGTGTCTGCCTTGTACCGTGCTGTGCTTGTCACTGTAGCTCTGTTTACAGAAGTTTAGACCTCCAGCAGTTCTTCATTGTTCAGCATTGTGTTAGCTATTCTGTTATTGTGTGTGTGTTCACATTTGAAGCTGTAAAACTGTCCTCTTAAGATCTGTGTAGAATTGTGTTGGAATTTTCATAGGGATTGCATTGAGTCTGTAGATGACAGTTGGTAGAATGCCCATTTCCCCATGTTTATCCTATTGATCCATAAACATGGATGATGTGGGATTCCCCTCTGTGTGCTGTGAATATGTTTTATTACCATTGGTTAATAAAGAAGCTACTTTGGGCCTATTGCAACACAGAATAGAGTAAGGTGGGAATTCCAAACAGAGATCGAGGAGAAAAGAAGGCGGAGTCAGGGAGATGCTAGCAGCTGAATGTGCTTATTCCAGAATCACATCTGAAGTTTGAGGGTGAGTTGAGAAGAGGAGGATGCTGACTCATCATTGCTCCCAATTTTCTAAGGACACAGATGAGTCACAAGGGACCTGTGTGTCAGGTCATGGATAATCCGTGCGCTACTGGAGGGCAGTGCCGGAGGCTCTTGTTTGTTGAGTGCCCTTTGATAACCCAGGGCTTAGCTGACAAATTCTATATTTCTGTCACACTGAGGACTGACTCACCCCTTTGTTTCCTTCTAGGTGATGTTAAAATTGTCACGTGTCAGTGTTTTGAATAGGAGCATAGCTTGAAGCAACTATCAGGGAGTGTAAAATGTGTTCAACATGCTATTTTTATTTTATTATCTATCTATCTATCTATCTATCTATCTATCTATCTATTTATCTATTCATCAATCATCTGTCTATGTTTATATATATCTTTCTGTATGCCAGAAGGGGGCACCAGATCTCATTACAGATGGTTGTGAGCCACCATGTGGTTCCTGGGAATTGAACTCAGGACCTCTGGAAGAGCAGCCAGTGCTCTTAACCTCTGAGCCATCTCTCCAGCTCTTAGTTTATTTTTTAAAAATTATTTCTGTGTATGAGTGTTTTTCTTATTTTCACATATGTGCGTCACATGCATGCAGTGCTTACAGAGGCCAAAAGAGGGCGTGGCTCCTCTGGAACTGGAGATACAGATGGTTGCGAGCTGCCATGTGGGTGCTGAGAATCAAACCCAGGTCCTCTGGAAGAGCAGCAGTGCTCTGAATCTCTGAGCCATCTCCCAGCCCCCTGTTAATTTTTTTCCCTGGTAGTTTGTTTTTGTTTTGGAGACAGGGTTTCCAAGCTGTCTCCAGCCTGAGAGAGTTTCTTTTAGTTTTCTTTTAGTTTCTTTTTTCTTTTAATAAAACCACTTATTAGCCCAAGAAACCTCCTGTGGCTAGAACTTACTGATGAAGGGGAGAGTCCCCTTTTGAGCGGGTTTTGGTTCTCAGTCTTGCTGGAATGTCCATTTCAGGAAGGCAGTGACCTTGACTTTCCTCTCCACCCTGTATTTCCAGTGCCCAATGATAGGTGCTTAGCAAATGCCTGTTGATTGGATAGTAATTATGTGTTTCTACTAGGCGGGCACTATTATGCTTTTTAATAAAGGCAGAAACCAAGTCACAGGGAAGCTATGTGAACTGGTCAGTGTCAAAAGTCCAGTCAGGCTTTTTATTTTTGAGACAGAATCTCACTCTGTAGCCCGGGCTGACCAGGATTATAGGCATGAGCCACCGTGTCAGGCTTTATATCTAAGACATAAACTCCTGTCTGCCAGCTTTCAGGTCTGATCTCCCCCCTCCCACCCCGACACTGGGACTGTACAGACGTGTGGTGTTGGTTGTCGGTGTGTCAGGTCCTAGAAGTATCCAGGAGATAAACTGGTGGGCATTGTCTGTCAGGAGTTTCCAGACGAGGTTAGTCGGGAAGACCCACTTTCCCTGTGGGCAGCATTGCCCATGGACTGGGCTCCCGGAATGAATAAAAAGGAAAAGTGACCTGAGCATTTATTTTGTATTGGGATTAAAGGTGTATGGCCTTTATCAGCAATGATGTATCTTATTTTACTAGCTTACTTATTTTTGGTTGTGTGTCTGTTTGTACATGTGGGCGCAGGTGCCTGCAGAGACCAGGAGAGGGCAATGGATGTCCTGGAGCTGGAGTGACAGGTGGTTGTGACCCCTGGTGTAGGGGATGGGATTGAAACCCAGTCCTTTGCAAGAGCAATGTGTGCTCTTAACCTCTGAGCTGTTTCTCCAGCCCTGAGACAAGGTTTTGCCTTACCCTGGCTGGCCTTGAACTTGTCATTTTCCTGCCTCAGCTTCCGCAATAGTCTGCTAATATTACCACCTGTGGCTTGGAGCTTGTGTACTTCATTGGTGTCCTATATCTCTTCCCCATGAAGGAAGAATGAGGGCCTGATCCACATCTCTTAGGTGCTAGACACTCAATTCCTATCTCCACTGAAAATGTCTTGGAAGTGTTAAGGATTCAGTTATGTCTCTGTGGGGGAGGCCCTGACTCCTACCTAGGATCTCAGAAGGTGACCTTGTTTGGAGGTAGGCTCTCTGTGGAGATTATCAAGTTGAAGTAAGGTCATTAGAATAGGTCCTAGGTCAGTATCCCTGGTGTCATCATTACGGGAAACTGGGGCACAGAGGGCTGTGCAGAGAGAAGATGCTGTAAGAAATATAGGGAGGAACTGGCCATCTATTAGCCAAGGCTTGGGGCAGATTCCCTTCCTCAGCCCCAGCTGGACCAGCTCTTGCTTAGGTTCTGATCCAGCATCTTGTCCATCAATTTATGACGTTTTAAAGATTTATTTACTTTTATTTTATGAGTATGAGTATTTTGCTGGCATGTATGTAGTACCATGTTCATGCCTGTTGCCCAAGGAGGCTAGAAGAAGGCATTGGATTCCTTAGAACTGGAGACATGGGTGGGCCTCTGTCTTAGTTGGGGTTTCTATTGCTGTGATGAAACATCATGATCAAAGCAAGTTGGGGAGGAAAGGGGCTATTTGATTTGTACTTTCACGTCATAGTCCATCATTGAAAGAAGTCAGGACAGGAACTCAAGCGGTTCTGGAACATGGATGAAGGAGCTGATGGAGAGGCCATGGAGGAAAGTGTGAACTGGCTTGCTTCCCTTGGCTTGGTCAGTCTGCTTTCTTGTAGAACCTAGGACCCCCTAGCCTGAGTGACTCCACCCACAATGGACTGGGCCTCCCCTACTGATCTCTGATTAAGAAAATGCACTACAGGTTTGCCTACAGCCCGATCTCCTGGAGCCATTTTCCCAACTGAAATTTCCTCCTTTCAGACATCTCTGGCTTGAGTCAAGTTGCCATGAAACTATCCGGGCAGCTGCCATATGGATTCTGGGAACCGAACCCAGGTCCTCTTCAAACTCAGCAGGTGGTTTTAACCACTGAGCCATTTCTCCAGCCCCAGTTTCTGTTGTTTAACTTGCTTGGTTTGTAGCATTTTGTGATGTCAACCAGAAAAATTTCTGGGGTCCTCTTTAAGGACATTATGCACTCTTAACTGCAGAGCCATCTCCCCCAGTTCCTGTTTATTTATTTTTTTTGAGACAAGGTGGCTATCCCAGGTTGTCCTTGAACTCCCTTTTAGTCTGAGGACGACCCCAACCTTCTGATCCTCTTATCTTTTCCTGAGTGCTTGGATTACAGATGTTACCACAGCACCTGTTTTGTGTGGTACTAGAGATGGAAGCCAGGGGCTGGTGCAGGCTGGACAAACACTCTACCACCTGAGCTGTATCTGCAGCCCCGAGGACTTCACTAGATTGCATCTGTGACAGTCTCCCCCCCCCCCCCACCGTGTTGAGCTACAAAGCTCAGGCTTAGGATGTGGCTGTGGGACTACGAGGTAAAGGCTGCTCATGTCATGGTTGACCAGTAAGCAAACAGAGAGTGTTGCTATAACCCAGGACCCTTTGGTGACTTCCAAGACCCTTTCCCAGCAACCAACTTCTACCAGTCAGTGCCCAGCACTCTGGTCTTTGTGTCTGTTGTCACTGGATTTCCTCCCTTTGTGCTTCAGCCTGCCTGGACTCCCTTAGGAGGACACTAGCCCTGGTTGCATCGAGGCCCATTCCATGATCTTACCTGAGTGGCATGGAATATCTCTACAAAGATGCTATTCCCAAGTAGCCACCTTCCCAGGGGCCAGGTAGACAGGAATGTGTGTGGGACACTGTCCTACCCTAGGCTGGGGTGGAGCCCATCCCTAGCCCTGATGTGTCTGTCCTCACCCATGTCTTCTAGAGGAGGAACGGGTAGACGTTCTGGTCAACAATGCAGCCGTGATGCGGTGCCCGCAGTGGACCACTGAGGATGGCTTTGAGATGCAGTTTGGTGTCAACCACCTGGGTGAGATCTGGGCTGTCACCAATCTGGGGTGGGGTGGGGTCTTGCTCCATTCTTTTAAAATTTATTAATGTAAGTGTCTGTCCCATAGACTGGGTAAGTCTTCATTTTTTCCTCTATTTTAAAAATTAATTTTTAGGCTGGACGGTGGTGGCGCACGCCTTTAATCCCAGCACTCGGGAGGCAGAGGCAGGTGTATCTCTGTGAGTTCGAGGCCAGCCTGGTCTACAAGAGCTAGTTCCAGGACAGGCTCCAAAGCTACAGAGAAACCCTGTCTCGAAAAACCAAAAAAAAAAAAAAAATTAATTAATTTTTAGGTCATCAATAAGTAGTAGTATTTCAAATGTATGTGTCCTTATACTTTGGTCTCACTTGTTACTCTCTCCCACTGCAGTTCTCTTAGGCCTTCTTTTTCTTCCCGTAGTCCTCTTTTGTTGGCATACAAAAGAGTTCCACAATAGCCTGGAATGGAGTGTAACAAAGGTTTATTTATTAGGGGATAAACTCACAGAGTAGCATCTGCAGTCCTCAGCGCGCTCTGGGAACTGGAACCGAATCCAGCAGCCAAGAGGCCTGCACTTGCTGTCTACACGAGACCGCATGGGCTGGTATCTTAAAGGCAATTGGCTGAAGGCTTTCCCACAGCACTCTTTCATTGTTTTATTTCTGTGACTGTGATAAAACGCCCTGGCAGAGCAGTTTAGGGGAGAAAAGGTTTATCTGACTCTCAGTTCCAGTCCCATAGCTTCAGGAAGTCAAGGCAGCTGGGACTGGAAGTGGCTGATCACATCACATCCACTGTCAAGAGCAGGGAGAGGCTTGCGCACCAGCCACTTTCAGGGTAGTCATCGTAACCAAGATACCCGCCTGCGAACGTGGCCACAGCAAACATGACCTCGGCAGCTCCCCTCTGAGGTTCTGTTTTCAGGCTAGGTTGTGCCAGATGGACAGTGAAAATGACTGTCTCTTCCCTTCTGTTTTTTTCTCTTTCTTTTAAAAAAGATTTGTTTTTAGTGTGTGTGTGTGTGTGTGTGTGTGTGTGTGTGTGTGTGCGCGCGCGCGCGTGCGTGTATGTGTGTGTTGCCTGTATGTGTGTCTGTGCCCCACATTCATGCCTGGTGACCTCTGAGGCCAGAAGAGGGTATCAGATCCCCTAGGATAGGAGTTGTGAGTAGCCATATGGATGCTGGGAATTGAGCCTGAGTCCTCTGGAAGAGCAGCCAGTGCTCTCACCTGCTGAGCTGTCTCTCCAGCTCTGATTTCAGTTTTCTTTATGGCCTCCTATTTCTCCATTGCATTTATCTATTACATGTTCTTTAATTTTTTCCCTTCAGCCAGGTGGTGGTACACACCTTTCTTTAATCCTAGTACTGGGGAAACAGAGGCAGGTGGATTCTCTGTGAATTGCTAGGTTAGCCTATTTTATATAAGAAGTTCCAGACCAGTCAAGGTTATGTATAGTCTCAAAAACTTAAAAAAAAAGAATTTAACTTTGAGAATTTCCTATATGCTTAGAGTGAAATATGATCATCTCTGCCCAACATTTCTCCTCTCCAGACTCCACCCCGTCCTCTGCAGCATGCTCCCGTCCCAACTTCTTGTCTGTCGAGACCCAGGCTAGCCTTGAACTTGTATCCAAAGACGACTGTAAATATCTGATCCTCCTTCCTCTACTTCCCCGGTGCTGGGATTGTAGGCACATGCCACTGTGCCTGGCCTTTTTTCTTTTTTGGATACAAGGTCTTGGTATCATATTTTCTTCCATCTGTTGATGATCTTCTAGGAAGCAGTGCAGTGCAGATTAAACCTGAATGAGCAGGTGTCTCTGTGGTGTGCTGACTCAGAGCGCCTCTGTCTCTGTCCAGGAGAGATGGAACTGGGCCGTGTGATAGTCCAGTGTAGAGAAGTCCGCACTAATGTCCATAGTGGCGACACCACCTTAGATTCCATAGCAGTGAGTAGGCTCCCTTTCCACGCGTTCTCCCCGGCATTTGTCATCATCTGTTCTCTGGGTGATGGACATCCTTACTGGGTGGAGATGAGGTCTCAGAACAGTTTCTCTGCTAAGGGTACAGAATGCCTTCTCAAATATTCGCTGACCATGTGCATTTCTTCAGTTGAGAACTGTCTGTTCAGTTCGTTAGCCTCTTTATTGACTGGATGATGCTTTTGTCCTTTAACTTTTGCGTTCTTCCCAAATTCTTATTTTTGCTAATGAAAGGGAGAAAAAAGGAAGAGAGGCTGCAAGAGGAAGCTGCCATTTCACCACCAGAATAACTATGATTAAAAAAAAATTAACTTGGTATGCGGGCTTTAATGAGAACGGCCCCCATAGCCTCATATATTTGGTTTCCAGCTAGTGGAACTGTTTGGGAAGAGTTAAGAGTTGTGGCCTTGTTGGAGGCGGGGTGTCATTGGGCTTTGTCTCTTTCCTCCTCTGCCTGTGGACCAGGATATAATGCTCTTGGCTACTTCTCTGGCACCATGCCTGCCCGCCACCATGATTATGTGGACCAGCCCTCTAAAACTAGGCATGTGCTTTCTCTTATAAGGGATGACATGATATCTCTTCATAACAATAGAATAGTAACAGAGACACTGGGCTTGGTGTCATCCACCATGGCTCTAGTGGGGGAGCACAGCCACTAATACACCCTTGATGGAAGTGCCCAGCTCCTGATGTCCATGGAGCGGTGAGGGAGGATGGGGATCCGCTGAGATCAACAATAGGTGGCACAGTCAGCCTGTTCTCATATCCAGTGCTGCCACCTTTAACCCTTGCAGAGGCAGGAGGATTGCCTGGAGTTCAAGGTTAGTCTAACCAACCGAGTGAGTTCCTAAGCTTATCAGGCAGAGCTAATAGTGATACTTGTCTCAGAAACAGAACACGTGCTGCTAAGCCTGATCTGCGTTTGATCCCTGACCTGGGGTGGTGGGGGAAGGAGAATAAGAGCTCCCGAAGGATGCTTTTCCCTCCATGTGCTGTGGTACGTGTTCAGTTGAAAACAAAAATCTGAGTTCAAGGCCAGCCTGCTTTACAGACTGAGTTCTAGGACAGCCAGGGCTACACAGAGAAATCCTGTCTTGGAAAAAAAAAAAGGAAAAAAAGAAAAATCAGCTGAATGTAAATCTAAGTTTTTTTTCTCCTTAGGAAAACAAAACAACTCCAAGCAGAATAATAAAGTGGATAAGGGAGAATATAGAGGAAGAGGAGGATTATGCTACCGCTGGAAATGAAAAATTAAAATTGTGGCTTAGTGGTTAAGAGGACTGGCTGCTCTTTCAGAGGACCTGGGTTTGACCCCCATCTCTAACTCCAGTTCCAGGGGCTCCACTGCCCTCTTGTGGCCTCCATGGGCACTGCATGCATGTTTTGCACAGATACACATGCAGACAAAACACTCATACACATAAAAAATATTTTAAAAAAGTAAAATAGCCATTGTGAGAAAATAATGTTTTCTTGTCATCCTTCATCTAGGTCACTTTCTGTTGACAAACTTGCTCCTGGACAAGCTGAAGGCCTCGGCCCCTTCGCGCATCATCAACTTGTCCTCCCTGGCTCATGTTGCTGGGCACATAGACTTTGATGACTTGAACTGGAAGACGAAAAAGTATGACACCAAGGCGGCCTACTGCCAGAGCAAGTTGGCTGTTGTCCTCTTCACCAAGGAGCTGAGCCGCCGGCTGCAAGGTGTGCACATGGTGATCTTTTCTCTTCTCCTTCCTTCCTCCTCATCTGGAAGAGTTCTGAAACCCTGAGCTGTTGGTGGAAGGGCACGTAGTAGCTTTAGACAAAAGGATGGCACCTGTACCACCATGCCATGGCCCCTTCCAGTGCTGGAGGTAGACATCACTAATAAATCATGGCTCTAATGGTTGCTGTTTGGTCTCAACCAACCTGCCTTCATCAGACATGCTTATCTTGGATAGCTTTCTAAGCCTCTGGTGTTCTAAGCCAGTGGTTGTCCACTGCAAGTGGTTTTGGCCCTAGGGGACACATCAGTGTTTGCAGACATGCCTGTCGCAACTGGGTTCGTGAGAGGTTGCTCCTAGCATCTAGTTGGTTGAATTCAGGACTCTTCCTGGATGGTTCCCCAGTTCCTTCTACTCTAATGGAAGGAATGTAGTGTTAGAGGTAAAGAAGCTTCCCCTGGCTTCTTGTTTCTCAAAAGTTGTCTGTGGCCAGCAGTGCCAGCCACCCTTGGGAGATAGTCATAACTGCAGCATCTTAGATCCCATTCTAGTCCCCTGCTTCAGACCCTGGTGGGGGTGGTGGAGCCCAGGAAAGTGGGTCTCTCATACCTCCAGTGTAGTAATAAGGGCGGCGGGGCTGCGTCCCCAGCACCCCAGCCGTCTGCCCGGCTAGCTCAGTCGGTAGAGCATGAGACTCTTAATCTCAGAGTCGTGGGTTCGAGCCCCACGTTGGGCGCCAAAATGTAGTGGCGTAAACGAATGCAGACAGATTGTAAAAATATATATAGTTTTAATGTAGAAATAGACTTACAGAACCACCGTTCCTGCGGAGACCAGGAAAGCAGAAGAGACAGCTCGGAGCACGCTCGCCAAATTTATAGGCAGACATTAGCCCGAGGCGAACACGCCCCCTAAGGAGCGGGACTTATCCCTACACTCCAGGGCTGCTGTGCTGGGGAGACCACTTGAGATGGAGGCTTCAGAGCCACAGAGGATGATGTGGTTCAAGTGTGGAAGCAGCCTAGGATAGCGAAGACCCAGAGTGTAGTGGTGGCTCCAGCAGCCTTCTAGTCAAGGGGCCAACCTGGTCTTTTTTCACTAGTCTTTATGTGTGCCTGTTTGTATGTGTGCACGAGCATGTGTGCATGCATGTGGTCTGTATGTGTGTGTGTGTGTGTGTGTGTAAGTCAGTGGACAATGTTGGCTGACATCCATGTTGCTTTTTATTTGAGACAGTGTCTCTCCTTGGCCTGGAGCTCACCACCTAGGCTAGGCTAGCTTCAGTGAGCCCTGGGGATCTACCTGTCTCTGCCTCCCAGCACTCACTAGGTATTAGAAGCCTGGATTACCATCACAGGCATGTGTTTTGACCTGGGTTCTGGGCATCAAACTCAGGACCTCCTGTGTGGCAAGCTCTTTAACAGCTGAGCTGTCTTGTCTATTGTTCCCAGGCACAGGTGTGACGGTCAATGCTCTGCACCCCGGTGTGGCCAGGACAGAGCTGGGTAGACACACAGACATGCACAACTCTGCCTTCTCCAGCTTCACACTTGGTGAGTCCCCTTCCAGCCTGGGTATCCCCTCACAGAGCGCTGCTAGCTGGGGATCCAGGACTTTCCCTTTATTTCTTTTTGGTTCTCTCTCTGACTGGGTCTCACTATGTATCTCTGACTTGGAACTTGCTATGTAGACTAAGCTGGCCTCGAACTCACAGAGATCTGCTTGCCTCTGCCTTTGGAGTGCTGGGATTAAATAAATGTGCCATTACACCTGACTTTTTTCCCCTCACTATGGCCTTAATGAGTAATTGGACTTGAACTCATTATATGGGTGAGACTGGTCTTAAACTTCTGACCTTTCACCTTCTGAGTGCTGTGTGTGCCTCTTTCTGCTCCTTCCCATGTCTTCCTGGGGTAGAAGATGAGTCATAATTCTATGTGGTTCTGACCTCAGATCAACAAAGCAGGCTACAGCCCCACTGATGAATAAGAAAATTGTCCTGCAGGATAAGCCTTGAGCTGATTTCTAGGGAAAAATATGTTTTCATTTTTTTCTGGAAACCCTGGGGAGGTTTTCTGTAGGAGGCAGATTTGTGCTCATCCCTCTGTTTGGAGGTTTTGTTTTTGATGTTGCCAGGGAAGGGACCTTTAGGTAGAGGGAACTGCAAGGACAAAGGCATGGAGGTGGGTCCGTGGGGCTTCAGGGAAGGTTCCATCCCTAGGGGTTTTGGGGGGGTAGAGCAGGGAATTTTCTTCTCTCTCTCTTTCCTTCTTTTTTTTTTTTGACGGAATGTTCTGTGGTTGATTGTAGGGCCCTTCTTCTGGCTGCTGTTCAAGAGTCCCCAGCTGGCGGCCCAGCCCAGCACGTACCTGGCAGTGGCAGAGGAACTGGAGAGTGTTTCTGGGAAGTACTTTGATGGACTCAGAGAGAAGGCTCCGTCTCCTGAGGCTGAAGATGAGGAAGTAGCCCGGAGACTTTGGGCTGAAAGTGCTAACTTGGTGGGCTTGGACATGGCTCATGGGTCCCCTGGAAGGGGGCATTCCCTTCCCAGATAACCTTCAAAGATCCAGATGGAACTGTATTACCAAGGCCTCTGGCTGCCATGCCCTCATCCTCTGGGGGCACTGTTGGCATTGTTACTCTCAAGACCATGGTTGCTGGCTGCCATGCACCCATCATCCTCTAGGGGCAGCGTTGGCACTGTTAAAAAGCATGGCTACTGACTGCCATGCATTCATCTTCCTCTAGAGGCAGTGTTGGCACTGTCAGAATATTAAGACTATAGCTGTTGGCTGCCATGCCCTCATCATCCTCTAGGGGCAGTGTTGGGACTGTTAGACTCCTAAGACCATCGATGCTGGCTGCCATGCTCCCATCTTCCTTTAGATGGCAATGTTGGTCCTTTTTTGTTAGCTGACCACATTCAGTTGGACGACAGCTGAGCATTGACAGGGGCATGTGTGGTGGTGGCAGGTGGAGTCTCTCTTGGGAATGGTTTTGGGCAATGTTCAAAGGTAGCTGTGGTGGTGACTGATTGATGTACTGTTAAAGAGCGGGTAATCAGACAAATGTGGCCGGTCAGTCATAGTTCTTTGTGGGCCTTTGCACACTTCTGCCTTCTCTCTGAGAGTTGGCTGTTGTTTTTAAAGCAACTGGGGAGGAAAAGGGCTTACTTTAGCTTACAGGTTATAGTGCATCACGGAGGAGGGAAGCCGCGGCAGGAGCTCAAGGCAAGAGCTTGATGCAGATACCAGGCTTACACTCAGATAACTGTCTTTTATTTTCATCATCATCATTATTATTATTATTTTAACAGTGAGTCTTACTCTGTAACTCTGGCTTTCCTGGAACTTGCTCCAGGATGGCCTTGAGCTCACAGAGATCTGCCTGCTGGGATTAAAGACGCGTTGCCATGCCTGAGTCAGGTACCAGCCCAGGCCTACCTGCCCAGGAATGGGACCAATCACAGTGGGCTTGTCCCTTCTACACCAATTAGCAAGCAAGAAATGTCCACGGACATTCACCCAGGGCATTCTGGTCCAAGCAGTTCTCCGGTTGAGGACCCCTTCCTCTTCTGGGTGTGTCAAGCTGATAACCAAAGTAACCAGGTCGGCTCTTGATTGCAAACAGCCGTGGGTAACTGCTACCTCATGGGCTGGTGTGGGCATTAAGCTTTTGTCTGGCTCAGTAAAGGACAGCTACGGACCTCTTATGTCCTGGCTGAGGTGCTGGGATTCGGGGGAGACCCTGGCCCAGATGGAATGAGGTGAAAAGCTGCTGGCCGCTGCCTGTGAGGACCAGCATGACCTGAGATCATGACCTCTCCAATTCCTATGATAATTTTAACCTTAGATTCTCAAGCTTCTGTATGATTATAATAACTTGCCGGGTTATTAAGTAACACCAGCACTTAAGAGGTGGAGGCAGGAGGATCGAGCGTTCAAGGTCATCCTCTGCCAGCCTGGGCTCTACAAGATCCTGTCAAAAGAAGTCAAAACAGTGAAATCTCCAAATGTAGCTGAGCCATAGATTTAAAATAAAAACAAACATTTGCTTAGTGTGTAGGTGTGTGTGCATGTGCACAGGTATGCCCTTGAGTGTCTGCCTTCCGTGCCGAGTTCATTCAGAGGACAACTTGTGGGAATCGTTCTTGTCTTGTGAGTCTTGGGATCCAACTCAGTTTGTCCAGCTTTGTGACAGAGACTTTCACCTCTGAACATATTGCCACATGACCCTGAACCTGAGTCATAGGTTTTATTTTATCCATTGTATATGGAATTTATTCCACACACAACTTGTATATTTATTCCTTTTAAGAAACCGACTTTTAAGTTACTGAGGCAATGAAGCAAGCCGCTGCAGACTCTGTAGTGGTGGAAGGCGCAGCTCACCATATGGCAGTGATCACTGAGGTCGGGCTGTCTTAGGGAACTTCTGCTTCAGAAATGGGACACTCAGCTGGGATGTAGAATTTCCGGAGCATCAAAAAGGTCAGTAGAGAGCTGGGAAGCACACACCTTTGATCCCAGCACTTGGGAGACTGAGGCAGGCAGATCTCTTGAGTTTGAGGTCAGCCTGGTCTACAGAGCTAGTTGCAGAACAGCCAAGGCTACACAAGGAAACCCTGTCTTGAAAAACCAACTCCCTCCCACCCCCAAAGCTCAGTAGACCCCTGGGTACTTAGAGCAGGACTGGCCTAGAATTGTCACTTGCCAGGTGACTGCAGAGCCCAGCCAACCACGTAGCACCTGCTCTGCTGGCACAGTGACACCAAGAAGCTACAGAATAATTTTGAAGCCACTAGAGGTCAGAATTGAAAGCTCTTTGGCATCCACTCCAAAGCTGCCCAAGTTCAGTCTTAATAGCAGTGTTCCTAGGGTATATTTTGCAACCAAGTCATATGTAGAAAGATGCCCTTGGATGTACAATATATTTATATATCTATTTATTTATATTTCATGTATATCTGTTTATCCTATGCAGTGCCTGAGAAGTTGCAACCAAATCATATATAGAAAGGTACTCTTGGATGTACAATATTGATAGCATCTATCTTTCCATCTGTCCTATCTATCTATCTATCTATCTATCTATCTATCTATCTAGATATCTATCTAGATACCTATCTTTCATGTATATCTGTTTGTCATGTGCATGCAGTGCCTGAGAAGGGTAGAAGAGGACTCCAAATCTGGAACTGGAGTTTACAGTTGTAAATCTCCATGTGGGTGCTGGGAATTGAACCCAGGTCCTCTGGAAGAGCAAGCCAGTGCTCTTAACCACTGAGCCATTACAATTGTTAGATTCTCCTGCCTCCGTCTTCCATGTTTAATGATCCCCTTGGTCATATAAGCCCATCAGGATAATCCAAGACAATGCTTTACTGTTTTTAAAATCAGTAGAGCAGACTTAATGCTATCTTATCTTCTTATCTGGTCCTGTTCGCCAGGTAAAGTAACACAGTCCTTTATTCCTGTGTCCCAGGTTCTGGTGATGGGATCTAGCTACCCTGGGGAAGGCCGTTGCTCTGCTGACTGTATACTCCCCTTCATAAAGCCTGGCTCTTAAGGTTTTCCAACAACTCCCACTTACTTCTCATCCATTCTGGTCTGCTTAAATTCGGCTGGCTCAACTCCACTTTTTTTTTCTTTTGAGACAGTTTCACTGTGTAGTTCAGACTGAACTTGAATTCTAGATCTTCTCATCTCAGCCTCTAGAGCCCAGAGATTACAGGCCGACCACGTGGTGCCAATTTGCAATGTTTACAACCAAATAAACAGAAACATACATTCCTGTTATTAATTCGTCATTGTCTTTCTGTTTTGTTTTGTTTTGTTTTTGTTTTTAAAGACACAAAAGAAAAAAAGGGTTTCTCTTTGTAACAGTCCAGGCTATCCTAAAATTTCCTTTGTAGACCAGGCTGACCTCGAACTTACTGTCTCTGCCTCCCCAGGTGCTGGATTAAAGGCGTGCGCCACCACGCCCTGGCTTGTCCTTCTCTTGCTGGGAAAAACTTCCTGACAAAAGCCACTGAAGGGAAAAAGGCTTCAGTCTGGGTGGCAGCTCCAGGGTATGATCCATTATGGCGTGGAAGATGTGATGGATGGCAGGGGCTTGGGACAGCTTGTCCACCCTGCATTTTCAGACAGGAGGCAGAGGAAGGAATGCTGCTGCTTAGCTCCCCTGTAGCTTCAATTTTTTTGTACATTGTTTATGTGTGTGTTGTGCATGCATCACGGTGTGCTTGTGCAAACCAGATGGTAACTTGTGGGGGTTTTGGTGACAAGTGCCCTTCTTCCTCAATAAGCCCCCTTGCTGGTTCCCCTTATCATTATTATCAGTGGGTGGTGGTGGTGAGGGCGAATGCCACACCATGTGTATGGCCGCAAGAGAACACCTTTCAGGGAGTCAGTTCCTTCCTGCCACCATTACATGGGTTCTGGGGGTTGAGGTCAGGTTGCCAGGCATTTGTAGTGAGTGCCTCTCCCTGCTGGGCTGTCTCGCCAACTTCTGTGTTCCTTTTATTCTGTCTGTGGCTCAAGCCCTTAGTGTAGTGCTGCTCACACTTGCTGCGGCTCTTCACATCGCAATTACTTCAGCCTAGAAACTTCCTTACAGACCTGTTCAGAGCTTGGTCCTAGGTAACACTACATACTATCAAGTTGACAGTATTTACCATCACAGGGTGTCTTTCTTGGGAGATGGCATTTATCTGAAGGAGGTAAAAGTCTAAACTTATCTGGAGCTCAGGCTACCAAGGTTGTTGAAGGAGTGGCAGGGTTGCGTTCTGGCCGCCCTGGCTCCTGCATGGCTAGCTTTATCCGAAATAATTACACGGAAACTGTATTCTTTTAAACACTGCTTGGCCCATTATATCTAGCCTCTTCTCGGCTAACTCTCGCACCTGGACTAGCCCATTTCTAATAATGTGTGTAGCACCCCAAGGTGCGCTCACCGGGAAGATTCTAGCCTATGTCCATCCTGGGTAGAAGCTTCATCGCGTCTGCCCCAGAGAGGAGAGCTATCGAGTCTGAGCTCACTTCCTCTTCCTCCCAGCATTCTGTTCTGTTTACTCCACCCACCTATGTTTTAACCTATGAGGCCAAGCAGTTTCTTTATTAATTAACCAATGACCTTCCTCCATCACAAGGTGGCTGATCAATGGGGATGCTTTTCATGCTGGGGGGATTTGTCTTTCTTGCACATGGACGTGACTGCTTCTGACCACAAACCCTCATGACCAACATCCACTTCCTCTTCAAAATCAAGAGATCTCAAGTGCCACAAATGCTACAATGTCCTAATCCTGAGGCCTGAGATGGCCCCAAAACAGCAGCACCCTAAGATATATGAAAGACGACAAAATCTACTTGAAAAGACAGCCCAGAGAAGAATTTGTGGGCAAGTAATTAAGCCAACTAAAAAACCTGGGCATGGCAGTACATGCTTATAATCCTAGCCTTGGAAAGGCTGAGACAGGGGGATCTTGAATTTGAGTCTAGTTTGGGCTACAATAGTGTGATTCTATTCAAAAACTGAAAGTCAAGCCATTTTGAGTAAAGATAAAAACCAAAACCAACCAACCAAACAAAAACAACCCCAAAGCAAACCAAACCAAAAACCAGACCAGAGAAACAGCCACAGAAAATTGCTTTGTATGGTGACTCAACACGGAAAGGAATTGAACTTGCATCAGCTTGTATGTACTGTTCTTTAGAGCTGGGGAATTCTGTCCTGTTGCCTTTGGTGACCCACTGTAACAGGATGTTCAAAGGGTACAGGCCGATAGCTACCTATTTTTTGAGACAGGGTCTTGCTGCCCAGGCTACCGCCAAACTAAGTAGCAGAGGATGACTTTCAGCTATGGATCCTCCTGCCTCCTCCTCCCAAGTGGTGGGATTCCAGGTCTTCAGACACTATAGGGCGGACACACCATGAATCTCTACTCATACAGCTGCATCAACTGTAAAAACATCAGCATACAGTGGAAGTTAGGGGTAACTTTTTTCCAGATGCACCCAGTGTCTTCCTTCATTGAACTCCCTCTCAGAGACCTGGGCACTACAGGATCCAGCAACGGAAGGGTTAACTCCCAGCAGCACCAGGTAAGCTGATCTAGTCCTTGGGTCATCATCACCTTTGACAGGTCAGGGCCCATCTCATGTGGACAGTAGAATGTTGAAAATTACCCTAGGCTTAAGAGGCAAGGAACATAAATTAAGACAGTTGAAGCTCAGCTGTAAGGCAGACATTGGTTCTGCGATGTATTCAAGACTCTTCCCTGCCTGTTTGTCCATTGTCAAGGTCAACTTCATCCTAGGTAGATCTCTGTGGTCAGTTGGCTGGTGGCCCCTGAAGAGTATGGCTATAATTCTGGGGACTGTGGACAATGCAATTTGTAGAAGTTAGCTAGATTCAGGAAATAACCTGGCTAGCTCAGTTGGTAGAGCATGAGACTCTTAATCTCAGGGTCATGGGTTCGAGCCCCACGTTGGGTGTTAACTGTAGAAGTTAGCTTGATTCGGGAAATAACCAGGCTAGCTTAAAGATAAACAATTATATTTTTACTTATTATTAAGGGGAAACTCATGCCACAAGAATGGAAAGTCCAAGTTCCACTGTGTCCTATGGGAATCACCCAGAGAGAGTGAGTACCTGGTCCATCCCAGTTTTTTTCCTGGGCTCCAGGAAGCCATGCCTTAACTAGGTTCCACTTCTTAAAGATAATTGGTTAACAAAGCTTCCTCCATCAGCAATTTAGTAGGATAGGATGTTGCTATTAGTCTCTGGGTTATCTGAGCATCAAGACACATAAATGCCTGTAATCCTAACACTTGGGAGGCTGAGGCAGGATTAGATTGAGTTCAAGGCCACCTAGACTACACAACAAGACTCTCACAGAACCAGGTTGTGCAGTGGAGGTGCATGTAATACTGGGGCTTGTGCAAATGCCCATGAGCAGAGGCAGGAATCTCAGTCTCTCTCTGGTTTTGTTCAGGGATTATAGATGAGCCATAAAATGCTGGCTTTCCACCTTAGCTTTTCAAAAGCATCTCGGAACTCCAGGAGACTCATCCATGGTACACTTACACATATGGCTTGAACATGTCTCCTGGTTAACCTGGGGGAACTTAGTCATCAATGTGCTAAAGTCAAGATGATGGGAGTGGAGGTGGAAGTATTACTGCCTGTTACAGAACGGGTGTGGGTTCACATGGTCTGTGGAAGAAGACACAGGGCAGTTTAAGGGTGATTTTAGCCTTTCCAGCTGCAAGGGACCTCAGCCTCTTGGGACTGAGACGCCAAACTAAGGGCATTTTTTTTTGATTGTTCTCCAATTTACACCTTTAGCAAGTTGATTTCCATATCCCCGAAACATCCTAAGTTTCCAAAGGGACAATGCCAAATGCAGATTTTTGATTAAGGAATATCACAGTGCCGAATTTTTCCCAACCAAGTTTTACATAGTCCTCTTGTGTACACTCCCACCATGATGTCATCCTGGGTCTACACAAGAGGCTGAAGCCATCTGAGTTTGAACTTTCAGTTTCCAAGACTGTGAACTAAATATGACCGACCCCCTTCTTTATAAATCATCCAGCCTCACATGCTTCATTACAGCAATGGAAAATGGACGGATGCAGCAGCCACTTAGGTTGTTCTCTGTCTCATTCACATCAGATGATGTCACTGGTGTTCAACCTTCACATGAAGGCAGCCGTGTTTCAGAGGATGTAGGACCCAGGGTAGCTTCATACACATCTGTCAAGACAGGCCCTATAGACCAACAGGAAGATAGGTCTGAGTCCCAGTTTACCCTAAGACAATACCTGGTTCCAAGAAAGACCACAAACCAAGACCACCCATGCTCCAAAGGTCATATTTGTCTAGGGATACTCCTAGACAAATGTCAGTGAGTCAGGGGCCTTGAACCTTAAAAAATCCTCTGATATTATAAAAACCCTACCCCAACTTTGCTCAGGGCTCTCTGATCATGCCAATAGGTTGGGCACATGGAGAGTCTGAATTCTCAAATTTGTGTAAGAATAAAGGCTCTTTGCTTTTACATATGCGACTTGGTCTCCTTGTTGGTTTTTGGGGTACTCAAAGGATCTGGGTATAACAGAGATTACAGTACCCAAGTGTGCACTTAGACCTGTGTGTCCCGGTTCAGTATAGTATCCCTCCCAGGCATCTGAGGCATGATGCATTTTCCTGTAAACCTCAGTCCAGGAATGGTGTGTGACACTGTTCTTGGGGAGATGTGAGCATATCTGTAGTCATCCTAGATCGGCAGCGGGTGACAGACCAAGGTAAGGATACCTGTGTGGTGAACCAGTGAGTTTTATTGCTCCTTCAGAGAGCAGCAACACTGCCAGTGGTCTATCCATCTCCACTGAGGCTCTACCTTTTACTGGTCCCATCACCTTGATCTTAGCACGCTGAGGACCAAGCTTCCCACACCAACCCCTGAGAACATTCTCAAACCTTCTGCAGATAGCAGAAATAATGAAGTCCACAAAATCTCTCAGATACAGACAGGAGGTGACCCAATGGATGAGCCTCCTCCCTTAGAACTCTGGAGGGGATGCTTTTCAAAGCCAAGATTGGGAGTTGTACTGCTTACCTTTCTGGTGCTGTGACGAAGCACCACGACCTGACCAAAACAAATTAGAGAAGGAAGAGTTTATTTGGGCTATGGTTCCAGAGAGTTAGGAAGTCCCTCATGGGGAAGTGGCAACTATGGTGGCAAGTGGGACAGCTGGAGCATCAGGCTGAGAGTTCACATCTTAAAGCA